TGTTCATATTTGGAATAATTTGAACAGTTGTAATTCACAGTTTGTTTTTCCAACAATTAATTTGGCTTTCTTCCCAGTTCTTTTAACGAATGCTAATTTGCCGAGATGCTAACGTTGATTATGTGCCTTAAAGGGGTGACTAACTCAACAGTAATATTTATCAGGGCTTTGGCCATTTCGAGATGTCCTGGGTGTCTACCATTTGTAGCAACCAAGTTGACCTTGGAAGCCTAAATGGCGAAGGCGCGGTGGATTACAGCATTAGAGAACAGTATGAGAAAAGAAGAATAAGATAAGACGTTTCGGTCCATTAAGTTATACACGCCTTAACTCAACACCGCGCGACAGGACCTCGTCAGTATGACGGCCGTAGTGCATGTTCTCATTCCTAGATGATGACGGTAAGAAGTACCAGACGGATTACGAGAGTTGTGTACATATCCTTCCCAAATCAGTTCAAAATACACTTAAGCTACATATGATGTTTTGCCTCTCAGTCTAATGTTTGACATTAGTAAACATTCTCTGCGTGAAATTAAGCGATTAGATAGAGACAGTTTCATGAAGATTGTGATAGAGAAAAATCATTATCGTAGTCTTTAATAATTGTAGATTATTTCTCGGGGTAGGGGGGGGGGGCAATTAAACGATGGAAAGAGTTAACAGAATATACAGGAAAGTGAAAAAAAAAAAACGAAAATAAATCTGAAGATGAACGTTTTGCTCCATCACGGCGTACACATTCCTTTTCAGCACGATGTTTAGTAAAAGTTTTCGATAGTAAATAAAGAGAGGTGTGCATCTGAGGTTCGAAAGGTCGGATATTTTTGCGTCTTGAATCTAAATATGCCAGGCACCATTGAAATCCGTGCTGAGATAGTTAAACTGATAGTAATGACATTTAAATAGATCTAAATTCCAGTTAAATTCGTACCAGAAATAATAGCTGTTTGTAAATTTCAGATGCTGAAATCACATCGGATGATGATAGTGACACCGACTCAGATTCGGAATCGGACACCGCATTCCAGGATTGTTTCTTTGCTCTAGAACCGTGGCTTGCTTTCCGATGCAAATTCCGGGTAGGTTGTCGAAAAAAATTCTTTTTAGTTTTTTGGATCGTCCACTTTTAAGGTTACGATTCGACCTTCTAACGGCCCCAGTTTATCATTCCATTAATTTTAAATTATTTCAGTTTTTCTCAAGCAATTTCAGTTGTTTTAACTTTTTTAAATGAGTTTAATATTCCCGAGATAAACGACTGAGAGAATGAGGGAAGGCAGAGGAGGAAACAAGTTTGAGGATGAAAAAAGGAGAAGACCGTTGATTTATTTTGCATCTGCGAAATTTCTTGAGTTTTGAATATCGGCTTATTTTTGCATACATTTTGAGGTATTTCAGGACATTCAATTGATTTTAAAGTTACGCGTCAAGCTGATGACATACTTTTTAACGATGATGAAACAGCCGAACTGCGTGGTGACGCAGGAAATTCGGGTAAATTTTTCTGAACTTTATTCCATCATTTTTTACTTATTTTGGTTTAACTAGAGCTTGGAAAAACAGCAACCACACTATCTGCTTATTCTTTACTTGATGTTTTTTTTTCCAGGAGCTACTGGCAACCATAAATTACGTCTTAGTGGCACATCATCGTGATGCCGGATTTGAGGACTGCAATGATTTACCTTGGTCGCGGTCGCATTCACCAACGTCGATGGTCATAGAGGTAACATGAAATTTCTTTTTTTTTTGCCGAAAGGTTTCACCTTTTTTATACTGCACTGAAATACTATTTATTTTGTAAGGAATATTTCTTTTTTGGAATGGTAAAAAGTTTCTGGTGGAAAAAAGGTATCTTCGGGAACCGAAATCGCTAGGATGCTGAGAATTGAGGATGATGTTTCTGCCTATGCGGAAGCACCAAAAACTCAAGTTAAGCTTTCATTTATGCCTAGGTTTCACGTACGGCCGTATGAAAATTATGATGCGAAAGTCGTTAGCTCGGGAGTCAGGAAACTAGGAAGCTGAAATTTTGGAAGAATATTCTCTATGTTCCTTGTCCAAAGAATGTTCCCCGTCCGAAGGATCTAAATTTCTAGTTCTTTAAAAATATCTAAATCACGGAGAGAAAAGTTTTTCCTAAAGAACTTTCGGTAAACTAATTCTTGTTGTTCAGGCAGCAAGAGAAAAGCCGTTGCGTCTTCGGCCTCAGTCGATCTTTGAGGAAAGGCACTCTGATCGGAAGATCGTGACACCGCCGGAAGATCAGGATGAAAGGCCAGGCATGGAG